TAACCAATTTATTTGAGCATGAGCTTTCGTGAGCTACAGCTCACTTCATACATCTGATGAAGTGAGCTGTAGCTCACGAAAGCTCATGCTCAAATAAATTGGTTAGTCTCTAAGGTGCCACAAGTACTCCTTTTCTTTTTGCGAATACAGACTAACACGGCTGTTACTCTGAAACCTGTCACTTAAAAGCAAGTTTTTACAGTAGACCAATACGCATGTGTTCTTTACTTTCTAGGTGCCCAATATGAGACACTGGAGCCAGATTTTCAGAAATGCTGGGTGTTCACAGCTGCAACTGGTCAATGGGAGTAGTGCTTTGAACATATATAGCACCATAAAAATACAAAGTATTCTGAAAAGTCAGGTCCGAGGTGTCTCAAGCTGGGCACCCAAAATTAGTGGACACGTCACTGTTTCAGTTTTAATCTCTGTGCCTCAGTTTGTCCTCTGTAAAATGTGGATAATACCATCTAATCTCACAATGGCATTAAGAAAAATTCATTGTTTGTGAACCTCCCAAATACTTTGGTGAGAGCATCACAGAAATATTCATGAAGAAATTAATAATCTTGTATTCATGCAGAATTTGGATGGTGTGTCCTCCACTTGTTGAATGTGGAGGAAAAAATAAATAATGAATAACTCTCTTCATTGAGTCAGGGTCCTGTGGAAAAATAGTATGTAATTAAAGACTACCATAATACATATGCACAAGGAGGCAAATTAAGGTTGTACATGAAACCTTAATTCTGGCACTTCCTAACTTTTAAGTGTTTGTCTTTTCGGTTTTTAAATGTAAAATAATGAATGGTGCAGAGCATAGATTCTGACTCCATTGGTGCTCCGGGGCTGGAGCACCCATGGGGGAAAATTAGTGGCTGCTCTGCACCAATCAGCAGCCAAGCTCCCCTCACCCCCTGTCCCACCTCCTCCCTTGTCCCTGCTACTCTGCTTACCTCCCAGCTGTTTGGTGACACTTAGGACTTTCCAGGAGGGAGGGGGAGGAGCGGGGATGTGTCATGCTCAGGAGAGGAGGCGGAGAAGGGGCAGGGACTTGGGGAAAGGGGGTGGGGTGAGGGGCGGGGGGGTGTCGAGCACCTACTGAGAACAGTGGAAGTCAGCGCCTATGGTGCAGAGAACATTGCTTGAGAGTGTATGTTCTTCCTGTGTCGTCATAACACAAGACCAAGAGGCTATTCAGTGAAACGGAACATAGCAAATTCCAAAATTTTTAACATAATTAGGTTTGGTAATTCATTGCCACAGGATGTTAAAGCCAAGGATTTAGCAAAACTCAGAGATTGAACATTGATATGTGAAACAAGAATATCCAGAGTTTTCATAGTTAATGCTAATAAAAAGAGTATTGGAACTGAAATAAAACCTCACATTTCAGGTTTTCGGTGATCTCGGTTAGAGATTAAGATGAGACTTTCATGGGGGGTGAGGGGCAGATTATCCCAGGTCTGCCTACTTTGTGGTCTCTTCCACCTTCCTCTGAAGCATCTGGTTCTAGCTACTGATGGAGACAGGATACTGACCTAGATGGGTCAGAGATCTGATCCAGTATAGCAGTTTTACTTTGAATTTCAATACAAACTGTTTTTAAATCTCCGATTGGGGGATTGTAAAAATGTATTGTCAGTTATGATCCACTTTCTAAATAAATATCTGTTGTTCTTGTTTAGCTTTTAGAAAAAAGTTTTAGAAATGGGGTGGTGTTCAGATGTCAGAGAGGTCTTACTCACATATGGCTCTATTTCAGATGAGGTAGACGGCTGTTCTCTTCTGAGAACAAGACCAATCGAGGTGATGGGAAGGATTCTGTATAGTACCCATCTGTGTGCTTCTCATATTGAGACTCTGTCAGATAAATCATGCTTGGGACCTAACTCAGTGACTTTAGCATCTAACAGTTTCCTGAAGTCAGTGCTTGTCTTCTTTCCTTATGGGATTAGGACACAAGGAGATGAGAGAAACTTTCCAAGTATATGAACAAGGTGACTCTGACAATTAACTTTTATTTTGTTTATATTATTCTGCACTACTAATAGGAAATTATGTCAAATTAAGAAACAAGCTGACAATGTTTGGTTATGTGAAAAACTTTAGCAGTTTGTCTAGTAGTTTTACAGAATATGCTTTACCCTTGACTGATGTCCCATCTCTGAATCTGGAGCTGTGCCAGGCCAAAGGTACTAACTATTGTGTAGCTATTAAAAAAAAAAAATCTTAAAAAGGCATATTTAAATATATCAGCAGCAACTGCAGCATCTTGAACACATTTGCTGCCGTTTTTCCAAAGTTTCTTAAATATTTGTTTTTCAGTTCCCACTCAAATACCTGTTTCCTTTGTAGATATTTAAGTCTTTGAATCCCTGATCCAGGTCTTCATTTCCCTCTTTTCTATGCATTGAAGGATGCATGTTTTTCATTCCGCTGTTATTTATAGAGGCACTAGTTGCATATACTTTGTGTTTAGACTCTTAACACAGTACAAATGAGTGTGTTCACAGTACTTGGTTTGTTCTTCTCACTAGAACCCCTCTTCCTTTCTATTTTCCTCAGTCCTATAATCAAATAAACTCGTCTAAGCAGCAGTTGTGATCCTTTAACATTTAAATTCTTTCTGAATGTTATCTGGTGAATTTTAGAAATCTTTACACCTTTTCAGTTCTGTGTTGTTCTGGGGAAGGTAGATACTTACAAAGAAAGATGTTTTGCTCAAAAAAAATATGCTCCGGGGAGGATATGTTGTTTGAGTATTGGAAGTGCATTTTTGTACAGACCACATAGTGCTGCTTTCCCTCCCTTACCCTGCCTCCTTCACTAAATCTCAGTTCAGGTTGTGTACTACAATCAGAATATGCTGGTTTCATTACATTTCTCACTCAGAATCTTGCAGAGGGATCTACATGAGAAGTCAAGAATGAAGGGAATAGCAGAGGAGAATAATTAGAATGCTCCCATAAGCCTCTCTTCTAAGGTGGAACGTTACTTTTGTTAAATACAGACAAGATAAGGAAACAATAGGAGACCCAGAACTACAGGAAACAAGATTTAGAATTTCCATGACCTGAGATTGTCCTGGAAAGCTAGACAATGTCCTTCGGTGTGTTCTGACATGTTAAAGATTTTGGCTGCATTTGTTTTCAGCTTGTACCTTCTCAGTGGCCACTTCCTCCTGCTAGCTCTGTAATCTCTGCATGTGTAGGAAGAAGATAGTGCTATAAGGCTAGTAGGTGGCTATATAGGTCGGGGAGCACCTTTATTCAAGCCTGAAGTCTCCAGGGATGGAAGGGCCCCTTATTTGACTTTTTTTTTTTAATAGTAAGTTCAGTGAAATAAAAAACCTATAGAGCTCATGTAATATTAATGATGCTGGAGTACCAGCAATAAAATCAGTCACTTTGACCCTAGGCACCCCTGTATTTGCACCCTAAACACAGAGTGCAATAATATTTGTACAAAGTATGCGTTGAGGTATCATATGAAAGCTTAGACTCTTGTTATTAATATAACTGTAAACTGCATGTGTAAACGTTATATGTGAATTTATGAATTCTCTTTGATGTTACTAGAACACGTTTAAAACCAGACAGCCTCGCCTAGATGAAGATAATAAACAGGTCTGTCCTAAACAAAGGATTGTTTCCATAATAGCAGTAAACAAAGCTGTCAAACTGAACCATTGGGAGTTACCCTGATCCTGAACTTGAAAGATTGAGAATTATCAAGGTTTGTGCACCCCAGAGAGAGACAGGAGACTGAATCTCCAGCAGGCCTTTCTGACTTGTAAGACAAAGACATTCCCTTTGGGGATATAAGGAATGGAGAGAGACTCCATCTTTATCTTTCACCTTAGGAGACAAAGAAACCAAGCAATTTGATCTCTGTGATGGGTCCTGGCTAGGCCTGCTAGTAAGGAGATTGTTGGATGAAGAATCCATCTTGAACAAAGACTGTATCTTGTATAAGTTTTAGATTTTTAGATGTTCTCACATATTTGCTTGTAAACATCTCTTTCTTCATCTCCCTGACTTGGTATCATTTAATCCATTCTATTTTGTAAATAAACATGTTGGCTTTTATTGTTGTCCCGTGTTGGTGTCCCTAGCCCCCGTTTGCCAGAAGCTGGGAACGGGCAACGGGATGGATCACTTGGTGATTACTTGATCTGTTCATTCCCTCTGAAGCACTTGGCATTGGCCACTGTTGGAAATAGTAGGCTAAATGGACCTTTGATCTGACCCAGTATGGCCGTTCTTATGTTCATTATAAATCAGTGCTGTGCAAGTTCATTGAAGTGTGTGCTTCCAGAAAGCTAACAGGTTGGAATGTTTTCCTGTTTCTGTAAAGGCTGCAATCCTAACTCTTCTCTGTGAAAGCCCAATGAGAGGGACTGGTCCCGCAGTAGGACAGTTTTGGGGCTGGAAGAGTACTAAGGTCAGCATGCAAGGAGTATCCAGGTTGGGCAAAGTCCGGGGGAGGCATGTGGACTGCTGGTAGGCTGCTGGGTCAGAGCTCTGGACCAAAGCTGCACTGCCACAAGACAGCCAGGATTACAAGGCAGATGGAGACCTGAACCCCAAACCATCACACTCACTACCTCCAGATTCTTTTACCTGAAGGGATGGGGGGAAAAAGGTGGGGAAGAGTGTATTCGGTCATGGCTCCCAACGTCATGTAGTCTCTGCACACTTGCATATGTGCTTAACAGTAGGTTCTACACTGCATGATAACTCAGCTTGTGTAATAAGTTTCACATACATCTGTGGTTATGGACAAGTGTAATTCATTTGTAATTTTATACTGACCAAATAGGTTTTTTTTTTTTTCCTTCTTCCAGTGTGACTCCTCTTAATGAATCTACTCCCGGCATCCCTATTAATCAATTAGATGATTAGGATATGTTTAATTATCTGGAAGATATTTCAGATATATGCTTTGACTTGTTTTCTTGTACTGAATTTTCAGTATAACAATTTAATTTTTTTCAGCTTATGTTGAGTATGAGTCTTGTTATGATTAGCGAGAATGTAAAACTGGCCCGTGAATATGCATTGCTGGGAAACTATGATTCTGCAATGGTCTACTACCAAGGAGTACTTGACCAAATGAATAAATACCTCTACTCTGTCAAAGATACATATCTGCAACAGAAATGGCAACAGGTGAGCAGTCCTGTTTTGCCAGTTAATATTTCAATGGTAAAGTATTAAGCTAATATGAATGATTTAGTTCAATGTTGAATAAGAAATGTAAAAATATCTAAACTATTCCCTGGTAAACTGTAATACCACTATATATTCTTATTTAAGGCTTCATTGGCTGATTTCTCTCTTTGTTGCCCCTGGCAGAGTAAGGAGTGAAGAACAACACTGAGTTAGTATTGTACTAACTTGCTTGCCAGTTTGACTTTTAACTGTGTTAATGAGTGCCCTGGTTACGCTTCAGTACAGTTAATTCTTATCACTCTTATTCTTTTTACAATACTTCAGTGGTGTGGTTTTGGCTGTCTAATACAGAGTGAGTTAAGACCACCATATTCATGTCCCTTGATGTAAAGCCTTACCCTCCTAAGGATAACCCAGTCTTTTTTCATTGTACTGTTTTTTTTCTTAAGACTGTGAAATGAAAACCAGCAGCAGGTTCTATGGAGTTGGTATTAAACCCATCTCTGTTCATTTATCTGACCGATTCTTCACGGTGTAAAATGTGTTAAGACCCAAAAAAAAAAAAAAAACTTCACAAATGTAATGTATATTTCTTGTTCTGTAGCATACGTAGTATTTTAAATGTATTGGACTAATTTAAAGCATCAGAATTAAGATAGCTAGAGAAATCTTGTGGAATCCAGCAGAGTTCATTCACATTGGCTTTAGCATACTCTGTTACAAATCTGTTAGTAATATGCTTTAATATACTTCATATTTTTGCATTAGGTTTGGCAGGAAATAAGCGTGGAAGCTAAGCATGTGAAGGATATAATGAAAACACTGGAAAGCTTTAAATTAGATTGCAGTCCCTTGAAAGCAGCACAGCAAGAATTACCAGCTCGTGATGGAGAAGTGTGGTCCTTGCCTGTGCCAGCTGAACGTAGGTAAGAAGAAAATTGGTAGGAGCAGATAACATGTAATTAAGTAAAAACATGCTCCAACTTCAATGAGAGTCAGCAGTTGGAGAATTCCTCCCTTTTTTAGGGCTAAGGTACAGGGCTTGGAAACTTTGACACCTAAATAGCCAAATTCTGGGAAAGGAGTGAGATTTCTGGATCCTATTTCAGGATGCATCCGATGAAGTGAGCTGTAGCTCACGAAAGCTTATGCTCAAATAAATTGGTTAGTCTCTAAGGTGCCACAAGTACTCCTTTTCTTTTTGCGAATACAGACTAACACGGCTGTTACTCTGAAATATTTTAGGATGTCATTTTATTTTTGTCTTTAATAGTCTGATAAATGTGAAACGTCAGCCAACTTTCTAGCTGCAAGAAGAAAGTGTAGTTTGAAAACATGAGTGTTTTGGAGGTTCCAAGGAAGCTGACTCTCCACTGCTGTATTTTTCTTCCCTCCTCATCATCCCTGCAATGATTCTCATTGCAGGTAGTGTGAAGGAGTGGGAGAAGTATCTGCTACTCTAGCACTTTCTAAGGCCTCTCTTTTTTTAGGGTCCTCTTCTAGTTCATAACTCCTGGGCTTGCCTTTGCTGCTGCTAGTAGCTTTCCCAAGCAACAGCCTGAAATAGGTGTGATATTTTGACAGTTTTTGCTACCCAGTGTTCTAAGAGGTCAGTTTCAACGTTACTAATCTTGGTAATTCCAATTTCAACGTTTTTGTCAAGGAGCAGAGGCATTGGAACTATGTCTGAAGATTAAAGAAAATATTTCAGTTCACATTTTTGGAAAGTTGGCTTTGCAACCAAAAAGTCTTGAAATGTAATTTATTTTTTAAAAAATGAAAGTTTAAAATCTGTAGAAATTGAAGACTAGGGCCCTGATCCCACAAGCTGTTTTGTCATAAATTGATACCTGTCCCCATGCAAAAACCTGCTTACTTCATTTGTACTTCTCCTGTGGTCCTAAAGATGGAATGGGCATTAGGAAAGTGTTTAGTGTTGGTCAAGAAGTATGCTTAAACTATTATATTAGAAGTGACTATTTTACTGGCTTTAGTCTTGGATAATGGTAGTCCAAAATCCCCAATGAGGATTTGGGCTTTTTTGTGCTAGGACAGTCCCTGTGTTGAAGAATATATACTCTGAAAGGCAAAACAGCCAAATAGGGGGTGGAGAAAGGTCAGTCAGTCAGAAGGTGGCAGATGTTCATCTTGGTTATTACCCTGCCGTCCTTTTAAAATAAAATTTAATAAACTAAACCGGAGAGTTCTATTTTTAATATTTAACCCTGCCTGATCTATTTTTAAATTAACTCTAACTTTTTCTATTTATAATTTCTCTATTTAAATCTGCACATTTCATTTTTATTTTTTAACCCTCGGTTTTTTTACTTATATTTAATCTCACCTGTCCGTTAAGCAGTTAAATACGTTTCATTACTTTGCCCTCCGAATGCAGTACTTTGACTGCAACATAACAATTCTCTTTGATCAGATGCCAGAAATCTATCCTTCTGTCTCCTACCAGGCTTTAGTGACAATGAGCACAGCTCACTTTGCAGGTGGAAAGAAAGTTCTGTTTGTCACTAGACTACTAGGGAGCAGGAAGGTTAGCTGCTGCTTAACATTGACCATATTAGCATGAATTTATGTAGGTTCTTTCATCTCTTGCCTACCACCACGCATAGGAACCATGGTGGAAAATGTGTTGCTATGGAAGCCAGAGAGCTGTTAAGCTTTATTAAGGCACAAAGTCTCCCCACAGATCTCCTAGGATACCCATGAGTTTTGTAGACTAGAGATCCCTTGCACATAACCTCAACAGGCCATTCAAGTCAAACTTCATGGAGTTTCCTCTTCCTTATTTCTCAGAAATAATCCATAAGAAAACAGTTTGGCTCTTAGGATTGCAAGTTGGAATTTTTCTGAAAGCACTGGTGCAAAAATATTTGTATCAATAGTCTTGCTGGTGCCAAAGAATATAAAATACAGACTGATGCTATATGATACATACTAATTGTAGTTAAGAAATTGTGTGTCAAATGTACCTACAGAGGAGAGACCTTGAATTTAAAAAAATTCAGTGATCCCCTCCATACTTATTTGCATGCATGTTTCTAAAGGTTGTCTGAGAGTCTCAGGAAGAGTAGGAGACACATCTAGTAGTTTCAGTGAGAATTCTGAAGGTGGGAAATTTACACATTTTTAGAATAAATTGCATTCTCTTGGGTTAAGCTGGTCGTTTTGGGAAGGGAATGTGTGTGCAGGGTTAGAAAACAAAAGCTTGGTGGAGTTGCTGTTTTTTTGGAGGCTTGAGATGAGACTTGGATCCTGGTAAGGCAACTTCATATTAAATCTTACTGTTTTATCAGTAACCATTTTTTTTTAAATATTTTGCTTCTAAGAAACGTAGATTAGTGCACTAGCATTTCATCTCTGGAGTCAGAATCTGATGGTTCTTGTGGTGTTTCAAAAAAAAAAAGCTGCAGTTGTACATGTAGCTTTTTGTTATTAAGGGCCTAAACAGAGAGGGGCAACGTTTGAAGTCTCCAAACTCTTTTCCCTCCTTGGTTTGCAAAGTCTGTGTAAGTCTTCTGAAGGAGGTGAAATGCTCCAGTGGATTTTTTGACTTATACTGACCAGTGATCCAGTATTCATGAGAAGCTTTTTCATTCTGTGCAAGTGATCAAGGAAGAATACTCTGGTATAGGGATTTCAGTTTCTGTTGGATCATAAGCATCTTTAGGACAGCACCAAGAGCATTGGTACTTTAACATATTATAAATGTATTAAGCTTCTGGTGTAGGTAGGCTAAGTATAGACAAAGGATGAAGTGAGTTTGAAAAGTATGAAATCTCAGTGACTTTATTTTAAAATAAAAGTTCTGGTTTTTGAGCTTAGCTTTTATATTGGCAACTTGTAATATTGGTGGCATCGTAAAATTAAATAGGTAAGAGAGTATTTATTTTGGGCAATTCATAGTTAAGATTTGATGAGGTTTGGTAAAGGTCACCATAGTTTTAAATTTAAACCTTTTGTATATGTTATGACCAATCAGACCTTCTCCAGGAGCCAGAAAACGTCAATCTGTTCAGTGCAATGATTGCAGAGGTCACAATAACCGTGTAAGTGCAGCCGTCAGAGGCCCTCACCGGCCCGCCTCTCGAAATCCTAATGATAAAGGGAAAGCAGTCCGTGGCCGAGAAAGGAAGGATCAGCAGAATAAAGGAAGAGAGGAAAAGGTAAACTTGTAGATCATTTCATGAAGTTTAGAGATTTGTGGTTTCATTGCATCCTTACGTTGGGGGATAGGGAGATGACTAGTGAAAAGACGTTATCTTTGACCAAACTTAAAACTTGTATAGTGCTTCTCATATTTAAAACACTATATACAAGCATGAAACCTCGGAACATATCTGTAAGGTGTTTAATGGATGAAGATGAACACTGAAGGACAGCATAATTGGCTGAAGGCCACATAGATTAATTAGCAGAGCCAGGGCTTAGAACTTTTGCCAGTTGCTGACCTCAAATCCTGTACATGTTCCCCTAGACGATATTGCCTCTTTGTAAAGCCCTTCTGCTGTGTAACTCAGACCTTATACAAGAGTTCATTGGAAATTCTTGGACATGGCTGTTTACAAGAAATACAAAATTGTATTACTTCAGTCCTCATTTCAGTAGCTGATTCAAATTTTGAGAGTCAGAGTGAATTATTTTTTTATATACGACTCTTGCAGACGACAGTGGGAGGCTGTTGCCTTGTATCTTTCAAAACATCTGGAAGCAAAATTTCTCAGGATTCACTTAACTCTTAAGGGAGATCTTAAACCTCTCATTCAGAAAGTCAGCCTGATCTCAGCTAGTTACATTTCTCTTTTTTTAAAAACAAACTAGCAATATATCTGGATTCAATCTAAAAACGACTATTCTTCCAGTCAGAACTAGGTCAGAACTGTGCAATTCCCAGAAGGACAGTGTCACATAATAATAACCTGATAATGGCTGAAATAAGAGATCACATTCAACAAGTAAAATCCATCTTTGACATAGCTTTCTAAAATAAACCAATGTCTTTACCAAATAAATCAAAGCCAACCTATTAATGTCCACAGAACTGATGGAAAGATAGAATCCAGGGTTTACTTCCGTTTCTGTAATCTCTAAAAGTGCTTCGATATAGGGGTGTCATGCATAATATAAACTGCCTCGTTAGAACTAGACACCTGGAAATGAAATAGCATGTACACCATATTGTATATCGTTGTAAATTAAACAGTTAGCGTGGGAGGTAGGCAGGGTTCAGTGCTTTATACTAGTGATAGTATCAAATCCTACTCCCATTAATTTCAATGCGAGTCTTGCAGCTGATTTTAGTAAGAGCAGGATTAACTCTAATAAGTAAAATGCTACATTGAACCTTTAGAAAGAAAGGAAAAAAATGTTGCCTCTGTGCCTTCGGTGGGCTTTGCTGATGGTGAAGTGTTAATGAAAAGTTTTCTTAACCAAGTCAGTTTGAGATAGATATATATTTATTTATTAGTAAAGGCACTTTGAAAGCATCACAGGGGCAGAATATTTATGCAGGGATTCAGAGCTAGATGGGATCCCTTTTATCCCCAAAATTCCAGCCTTCAGAGCCACTGTTGGGTCTACCCAGGAGAAGGCAATATATAATACTGCAGTACAGCCTCTCATGAATTCAGACTATCACATGTATCAATTTTGTTTTTTAACATAGAACAAGTCGTCATCTGATGTTTCAGAATCTGAGCCAAAGAAGTTTGATGGTACTGGGTATGATAAAGACTTAGTAGAGGCTTTGGAAAAAGATATAATTTCTCAAAATCCCAATGTTCGATGGTAAGTTTGAGTAAAATTAAGCTTATATCCAGGTTGCAGTTTTTCTGTTATAAAGTGGAGGCTATCTTTTTGGGATTAACTTTTTGACACATTAAATAATTACAGCTACATTGTTTTTTCTATTTTAAAGTAAGTTTGCTTGCTTGAATGTTTCTAGCGCTCTTTTTAATTACAAGAAAACTGGTGGGAAACTTCTCCAAATCCGCCTTATAGTCCAGTGTCTGAGCTGCTCATGCATGAGGCACTGTTTCAGTATATGAAAGATTATATTAGGTCTGCCAGTGTCTTTTGGAAAGGCTTTCTGCTGTATAGCTCTATGCTAGCAAAAGGACTTGTCACTAATGGGTCCACCTGAATTGGTGCTGAAAATAGTGTAACCTCTAGTGGAAAAAGACAATCATTTTTCAGCGTTTACAGAAAGTGTTCAAACCTAGTCTCAAACAAGAAGGGAAGCATAGTTGCCTTGAATATGCTGATCAGAATATCACAAGATCAGGTTTCTTGGGCTGTCAAAGTCCTTAGTGGGAGAGCTACAGAACAGGCAGTGGTAACACACAAGCTTCCCATAAACTGCCTTAACCAGTGTTCTTCCTCCCTGACTGCACGGAAAGGCTGAGGGCACAAGTGAGAACGTAGTTTAATTTCAATGTCTTTTCAGTCGTTGGCACCTCTGTGGAGATTACAATTGAAGAATTGATGAGAGAATTTGCCCACTAGTAGTCTGATTACAGTAAAGCTGGAAAGTATAATTTCCAGCTTGAGGAGACATACCCATGCTGCTCTGATCAAGCTAGTGTGCTAAAAATAGAAGTATAGCCGCTGCAGCACAAGCAGCAGGAGGGGCTAATTGCCCCAAATACGTACTTATGGTCTTGAATGGGATCGTACTCCAGGTGTCTAGTCCCTCTTGTTGGTCATGCAGCTTTGGCTACACTTCTGTTTTGAATATGCTACAGGTTTGTGTACCCGAGCTGGAAATTGCCTCTTCTAGCTCCAGTGTAGATATTCCCTAGAAACAGAACTAGACCAACTCATTCATATAGGCTACTAAATAGCTATTAATGGTAATAAAAGTGTTTTGCATCTTGAATTGAACAGTGATCAGGCATGTCCCTGTCATAAAGTGTTAAACAACGTTCTTTTTTTCTCTATCAGGGATGATATAGCTGACTTAGTTGACGCCAAAAAATTGCTCAAAGAAGCTGTAGTCTTACCAATGTGGATGCCAGAATTCTTTAAGGGAATTAGAAGACCGTGGAAGGTAAGAAATTGCTGATTCTTAGCATGCAGTGTAATTCTAAGACCTGTCCTAAGTGGGGCACCTGAACTCACAAATATTCTGTGTATATTATATCTACCCATCTTTAACCAAAACTTTTAAGGCAACTGTGTGTCGTTTGAATACAAATGAAGTTAGTGTAGGCTAAAACATATACTGACGTGCGCATTCTGTTCAAGGAAGTAATATCACTTCACTACTTAGTTTTGAATAGAATCATAGAAATGTAGGACCGGAAGGGACCTCGACAGGTCATCTAGTCTAGTCCCCTGCACTAAGGCAGGACGAAGTATTATCTGAACATCCTTGACAGGTGTTTGTCCAACCTGTTCTTAAAAACCTTACATGACAGCAATTCCACAACCTCCCTAGGTAATTTGTTCCAGTGCTTAACTAACCTTAAGTTAGGAAGTTTTTTTCCTAATGTCTATCCTAAATCTCCCTTACTGCAATTTAAGACCATTGCTTCTTGTCCTGTCCTTGGTGGTTAAGGAGAAAATTTATCATCTACCTCTTCATAACAATCTTTTATGTACTTGAAGACTGTTAGGTCTCCCCTCAGTCTTCCGCAGACTAAACAAACCAATTTTTTTCAGTCTTTCCTCATAAAATGTGTTTTCTAGACCTTTGATCATTTTTGGTGCTTTCCTATGGACTTTCTGAAATTTGTTCACATCTTTTCTGAAGTGTTCTGCTCAGAACTGGACGTGGTACTCCAATTGAACCCTTATCAGTGCTGAGTAGAATGAAAGAATTACTTCTTGCGTCTTGATTACAACACTTCTGCTAATACATCTCAGAATTACGTTCACTTTTTTTGCAACAGTATTATTGTGATCCACTGTAACTCCCAGATCCTTTTCTGCAGTACTCCTTCCTAGGCAGTCATTTCCCATTTTCTGTGTGCGCAACTGACTGTTCCTTTCTGCGTGGAGTACTTTGCATTTGTCCTTACTGAATTTCATCCTATTTAATTTAGACCATTTCTCCAGTTTGTCCAGATCATTTTGAATTTTAATCTGGTCTTTCAAAGCTCTTGCAACCCCTTCCAGCTTGGTATCGTCCACAAACTTTAAGTGTACTCTCTGTGCCATTATCCAAATTATTTCTGAAGATATTGAATAGAACCAGGTCAGATCTCTCTGAGGCGCCACTATATATGGCCTTCCAGCTCGATTGTGAACCATTGAGGATGACTCTGAGTGTGGTTTTTCACCTTTATAGTAGATGTGTCTTCCAGGCTGTATTTCTCTAGTTCAGAGGTGTTCGAACTGTTTGACGTGCCCCCTAGGGCAGTGTGGAGGAACTCTTATGGGGGCGAGTGGTGACGCCAGGCAGCTCATGCCAGCCCCCACAGGGGTGGGAAGGGAGTGCCACCTCCAGCTCCAACTCACCTCAGCGGGCCACCCAGCCTGTGGGTCAGTGTCAACATCTGCTGGGCCCATTTCCACTTCTGGCAGATTCTGAGCCCAGCTCTGGCTCTGTCCCCAGAGACCATTGCATATGCCTTCCCCAACCCTGAAAACCCAAGTGGGGAGGGGCAGAGGACCAGGTATTGGCCCTGCCATAGCGGTGCATCCTGGCTGCAAGGTAGAAGCAACCTGCTGCTGAGGGAGCCTTGGTTTGGTATCTGTGTATTTGAAACTTACCGGTGTAGGTAATTTAATTAAAGTTGTATTAAGGTCTCTGTTAGGTTTATAAATAGGCTAACAAGTATACTTTTGCATGTGTCTATTTTTGTCTGAGTTGCAGGGGTGTAACCAAAATGTGACTCAAATTGGGGGGCTCAGCTCAAAGTTTGCAAATCACTGCTCTAGTTTATTTATGTCATGTGAAAGTCATGAGACAATATCAAAAGCCTTACTAAAGTCAAAATCTACTATCGCATCTACTGCTTTCTCCCTATCCGCAAGGCTTGTTAATCTGTCAAAGAAGGACACTAGGTTGGTTTGAAATGATTTGTTCTTGACAAATCTGTATTGACTGTTTACCATCTTATTTTCTTCTAGGTGGTTACAAATTGATGGTTTGATTATTTGCTCCATTATCTTTCTGATTAGGGAAGTTAAGCTGAATGGTCTATAATTCCCTGGGTTGTCTTTATTCCTCTCTTTATAGATAGGTATCTAATTTTGCCCTTTTCAAGTCCTTAAGCATCTCTCCTGTCCTCCACAAATTCTCAAAGATAATTGCTAATAGCTCAGATGTCTTCAGCCAGTTCAAGAATTCTAGGATCTATTTCATCAGGCCCTAATCACTTGAAGACATGTAACTTGTTCTTTTCCTATTTGAGCCTCAGATTCTACCCCATTTACACTGATGTTCTCTGTTAGTTGTCCAATCACTGCTAACTTTTTTTTGGTGAAAAGTGAAAATAAAAGGTATTTAATTAAGACTTTGGCCATTGCTGCGTTTTCTGTTTTTGTCCCCCCTTTTCCCCTCCTGCCCTTCATTTAGTAATGGGCCTACCCTGTCCCTCATTGTTGTCTTGTTTCCCATGAATTTGTAAAATGCTTTCTTATTACCCTTTATATCCCTAGCTAGTTTAATCTCATTTTGTGCCTTGGCCTTTCTAATTTTGTCCTTAAGTGCCTGTGTGTGTGTGTGTTCATTCAAACCTTGTAATTTGACCTAGTCTCCACTTTTTGTATGACTCTCTTTTTTGTTTCAGGTCATGGACGATCTCTTAATTAAACAAGGTGGCCTCTTACCATGCTTCCTGTCTTTTCTAAGCATTGGAGTAGTTTGCTCTTGTGCCCTTAATAACATCTCTTTAAAAAACTGCCAACGCTCCTGAACTCCCTTTTCCTTTAGCCATATTTTCCATGGGATCTTCCCTACCAACTCCCTGAGTTTACTAAAGTCTGCCTTCCTGAGTGCATTGTCTCTATTCTGCTGTTTTTCCCTCCTACCACTCCTTAGAATCATGAACGCCATAATTTCATAATCACTTTCAACCAAGCTGCCTTCCACCTTCAAATTCTCCACTCGTTCCTCCCTGTTTGTTGGAATCAAAGCCAGAATAGCCTCTCACCCATTTGCTTTCTCCACCTTCTGTAATAAAAGTGGCCTCCAATGCATTTGAAGAACTTGTTGGATAATTTGTACCCTGTTGACTTACTTTCCCAACAGATGTCTGGGTAGTTGAAATCACCACCAAGCCCTGCGTTTTGGATGATTTTGTTAGTTTAAAAAAAGCCTCATCCACCTTCTCTTCCTGGTTTGGAAATGTAATTAAGCAAAAGTTCGTACTAAATCGTCCAACACTGAGGCTATCAAACAGTTTCTTAGGCTATGATTGTTGCAGTGGGTTTTCACTAGCCTTAACAGATTTTTGGTACATCACTTTGGACTGTCTCTTTTCAAATAGGGTGTGCTGATGGTTGGTCCACCTGGTACTGGAAAGACTCTCCTTGCAAAAGCCGTAGCTACTGAATGCAAAACAACATTTTTCAACATCTCTTCATCAACACTTACTTCAAAATACAGAGGAGAATCTGAGAAACTTGTCCGCCTGCTGTTTGAAATGGTGACTAACAACTCTAAAAGGAATAGTGGGTTGTAATTCTGTTCCCAGAGTAGTGAAACCTACGCAAGATACAGTGTGGCAGTAGGCCTCCAAGTTAAAGCCTTATTAGTTATTTTGAAGTTTGAGACCCTCAGTTTTTAGTGTGTGTATAAATATGCACACAGGTATTATTCATAGAAAACCACTTGTAAAAATTGACAGAATGGTCCTGCTTAGCGTATGTGCTCATACCTCAGGTTGAATTAAAGCATAAGCGCTTTCAGCCAAACTTATGGCCACAGTTCTTGGATTCATGTGACTGCATCAGAATCTCCAGTTTCATTTTAATAAAAGGTTGCTATTCCTCATGGTTTTTAGAAAAACTGTGAATAGTGTAACCAATGTAGTAATGTCTGCCTCAGTCAGCAAGCAGCCCAAAACAATAGCTCAATGGTGGAAGGAGGGGTTTGGCATATTGTGACGTAGATAAACCTTCAGGTACATGGGAAAGGTATACTTGTATAAGATAATGTGAATTTAACTCATTATAGTTGTACCACTATACTCCCCATGTGGACATGCTGATTCTAGTTTAAGAACTTTTTTGTGGTTTCGCTTATGCCTCTTTGAAAATGGTTTAAAGTAGGCTGAAAAAAGCCACTCTTATTCCAGAATAAGTACCTCCACAGGGAGTTTAAATCACTAGTTATACAAACATAATGGGTGAAACTTTCCAAGTAGACATACCCAAAGGCTCCAGATTTCCTTAATCAAGGCCTGCTTATACCTACTAATAATGTGATACACTAAAATAAACATTTTCTGTCTGAGACACTATTTGGTTTGTGCTTTCTACAAATAGACTTTGCAGGCTGATTTGAAATAACTCCCTAAAGACAAAACTACTAAAATTCAAAACCTTGCTCTGCGACTTTAGATCCCAATTAAGTAGATTAGATATGGTCACACAATCATCCGCTATATAAAATGTGTAGTGTTCCCTTTTAGCTAAGAATAACACAAATTTTAATCTTCAGTTCAAATCATATAATGTGGTTAAGACTCAGTAGTCTACAGAGCATGTGACACTTGGAATTAATGGAGTGGTGGACTCAGTAAAGGCTTTTCTACATTGCCAAGTTCAAATGCAGTGCATTCTGGGGTGAACAGTCTTGTAAAATGTGGTTATTGTAGCCTCAGTTCTACAAACAAATCCTATCACATTGCTGTGGGAACTTCAGGTTTGAATTTATTGAAGTTGACCACATTATACATGGTAAAGGCATCAAAGTTAATGCCATATACAGCAACAGAAAATATTATGTATGCACAAAGCAATATGTTATAATTGCTGTAGGACAATAACTTTGAATTTCCTAGGTGTTTTTCTCTCTGCTTTTTATCAAATCTCAAGGTCTGGCTAGGATTAGCATGTGACTGCCAGGCTTCTTGGAAACATGTGCTACAGGAATTAGTGTGGATGAATCAGTTGGTGGCATTCACCCCTTGTAGTAGTAATGAACTGATTATCCCAACATGGTTTTAGTGCTGATTTAGGAGATTTGACCTTGGTTTCATTAAAGATCCCATAACATATTACAGGTGTTAACTTTAGTGTCCTGGTCAGATAACTACCTTCGATAATTACTGTGCTTATTTAAATTACATTCTGGGGTGCACGTTGAGCTGGATGTGACATTCATTTCCATGGTAAATTTATTGTATAGTGTTGCTGCAGGCTGTTAAATAGCTGGCATGTAATAATCTAAGGGTTACTACACTTGAGTAGGATAATGTTCTGCTTTTATATCATTGCTACTGAAAGCATAATTTCTCATGGTATGTATGTTTGAAAGGTGGAGGTAAGGGAGAAGAGATGTTGGCTATTTATTCCTATTGTGGTGAATCCCCAAAGCCAAGACAGCTTGCTTATAGGCAGCTCTAGGAGATGTGACAATTCCAAAGAAATAAGATTATCTTAAGCTTTATTTAAACTGATGTAATTTCAGTTTCTGATTTCTCTAGGCTCGATTTTATGCACCAACAACTATATTTATTGATGAGATAGACTCTATCTGTAGTCGCAGAGGAACCTCGGAGGAGCATGAAGCCAGTCGACGGGTAAAAGCAGAACTGCTGGTTCAGATGGATGGTAAATGAACTTAATCATAGTTGATGGTTCTGGGTTATGGGAAAAAATAAAAGGATTTAATTTTATTCTTTTAGGCACAAGAACTTACTTATGCTGTTTTTAAAAAGGCAGATTAAAATGATAAACACATAAACATTACTCAAACTCACAAGACACTACAAATATACTGAGCTCATCTGTACTACCTTATCTACTCCCGCAAACGCTCTTCAGTATCTGAATCTCAACTTCGTATTGTAACTTCAGAATAATTGAGCTTCCTCAAAAGTGTGGAATCATTGAGCTCCTTGTCAGTCATGACTCCTTTTATATAACCCTACACTTCCCACAAGTGATTTTTCCCCCTTCCAGCCTAACCCTTCCCCCTTAATAGTCCAATAAAGTAGAGCAGTCAGATGTAGCTGTATAGCTGTAGTAGCAGAAAGTCTTCAAAGACAACCATCACTAAGCGCTCCAGACTGTAGTCTTCTATACAAGTGATTTGAATAACTGTAATCTATGCAAATTTAAACTTCTAAGGGCAGTTAACATCACCTCCAAAAGGATTCACATTATGATATTGTTTTTAAATAGCATTTGAATAAAAATGGCACACTTCAGTTACTTTCTACAGTTAATTTAAGCAATTGTTACTGAATAGGGAAAAACCCATGCCAGTTTTATTTGTGCAGAAAATTAGCTATTTTAATTTCAAATTCTTTGCTCAACACTGTTGAATATGTACTTAAAGAAACCTTCAAATCCTTTGCTAATCTGCAGAATAACTTGTGTTAGGATTCCAGGAGTCATAAAATCTTTTTTTTAAACTTGAGCAGTCTGATCCTGCACCCATTTAAGTCTATAGAGAAACTCCCATTGACTTAAATAGGAGCATGGTCAGAGCCCTTGAGACACTTTCCTTGCAATTCAGATATTTGCATCAGTAATGAATTTTTCATTAGCTCCCTTTTTTAGCCATGGAATTTTGGAATATTCATAAATGGTGTCTTGTTATGCTTTAATATTAGGGCAAACAGTACAGTGGGTATTCCAGGGTCTGTCACTGATTACAAGCAAAATCTGTCGGTTTTGTCATTAGAATGATTTACAAATAAACACCTTGGTAACAGATGTAGAGGATGACAATTCTAGTAAAACACATCTTGGATTTTTATTAGTAAAAGCTATTTATATAGTGCCACTAATTTAACAATGCTTTACAGATTAAAATACTTCCTGTCTGTTCAAAAGGGTTTTAGTCCATGGACCTAATCCACCAGTCTTGAATGCTGACTTTCCTGGGACTTCTTATGTTAATAAAAATTACTCACCTGAGTAAGGGATTGCAGTATCAGGCCTACAAATTGGTGGGGAAGATCTGATTTTGATAGCAGCAGTTACACTTTTTGGCGTGGCTGTTAATGACATTTTTGAGTATTCTTATTTTTAGTTCCATTCTAAGTTTTCACGTTGACACCCTGTGATAAAGGCAAAAATCCAGGCAGATATTGCAAAATTGTCTGTATGTTGATGCAGAAGGACTTGCCCATCTTGTGAAACTTATATCAATGTTAACCTCAGTTCTCTGACCTAGAATTTGCAGTTCTTCATCCCAAAATGGCAGGTAGAACTAAAATTAAACTTGCACTTTAATATTAGATCTCAGGGTATCCGTGATTCTGTATCTATATAGGATCTTCCCATGATAGCTGAATAGGTTTAACTATTTCCCCTCCTACCACAGGTGTTGGAGGGGCTGCTGAAAATGATGATCCTTCCAAAATGGTTATGGTACTTGCTGCTACTAATTTTCCTTGGGATATTGATGAGGCCCTAAGACGACGACTAGAAAAGAGAATTTACATTCCTTTACCATCAGGTACAAAGATTTCCTTAGATTAAAAAAAAAAGTGATCGTTGCTTCTTTTGTTTTGTGATGAGTCTTGTGATTTTTGGCAGTATCTTAGTATACTGTGCCGGACATCTGGGCTCGGAAGAGACCTTTGAACTTTGGAGGCACTTTACCCTGAGTGTATTGTTTGGTTGAATGCATTCATGGTCTGGATATGGAAGAGAGTGCATCAAGTTCCATAACACCACAGACAAAGCATTAAAATGGCAGGTACATGTGGGTATAAGGCCAATGGATACAGAGATAAGCCTAGAACAGAGAGGTGAAAAACAATCTAAGGACTATAATTGATTGAATTTCAAAAATAGGAATGCAAAGTTAACACTCCTAAAAAGTGGCCTGACTTTCAGAAATGCTGAGTGCCCAGCTGCAACCTCTTACGTCTAAGGAGGTTGTGGAAACTCCTTCACTGGAAGTTTTTCAAAAGGAGGCTTGATAGCCATCTGTGTTGGATGGTTTAGACACAACAAATCCTGCATCTTGGCATGGAGTTAGACTAGATGACCCTTGTGGTCCCTCTAACCCTATGATTCTAAGTCCATTTGCGCTCAGCGCTTCTGAAAATCAGGCAACTTGTTAGGATCCTAAATATAGACTTAGGAACTTAACTTTGTGCTCCTGTTTCTGAAAATATTTGCCTTCTGAATTGGACTTTAGATGTAGATGTAGAATAGAGCAAAGGAGGATTAAAACAAATTAGAGCCAGCCTGTGTGTATCTTTTGAATCACAGAATTATAGACATGCTATTTTTTTGTTTAGCAAAAGGCAGAGAAGAACTCTTACGGATAAACCTGCGAGAGTTGGAACTGGCTGATGATGTTGACCTTGCAAATATAGCTGAAAAAATGGAGGGTTATTCTGGTGCAGACATTACCAATGTATGCAGGTATGTCAGAATTGCAACCTTATAAAACAGTTTCTCTTGTTGAATCACTTATTTGAGAACTAGTCGGCCTTAATCATGTCCGGTAGCGACCCTAATTTGGTGACTGAAATTAACAGTACTCCGAAAACACAAATCTTGTCACTAAGTTAAAGGCTTATTAAACTGACTTGGTTCTCCGAGTAGTTTTCACATTCTGTCTGCTTCTTGAACTGAAAGCTCTCCGGGGCAAAGGACTGTCCCCCACTCTATGCAACACCAACTATGATGAGGGCTTCCCCACTCTGATGGCAGCTTTTTGTGTGTAATCAGAACAAGTAGAGGGGACCAAAGGAGTGGATGGTGAAAAGGCAGTGAATAAAGAAAAGTTTGCCCTAAATATTTGACCACTATAAACTGAGCTGAGGCAAATACAGTGTTAGATGTAAGTAGCTGCTTCTCTTGGTGTGTGTGTGTGTGTACATGGCTTTTATTTCAACTCAATTTATATGAATGAGGGAGGCATAGGGGCACTTTAGCCAAAATGTTGTTTGTAGGATGCTGGATGTAATGACGCTACTAAATTTTTTTAACATAATTTCTATTGTCCTAAAATATCTCTTCTGCTGGTTGACACTAGATTTGCTACACAATCCAGTTAATACTGGTTGAAATATTGTTTTTATTGCCATATTGGAAAAACTGGAACATCCAGTTACATAAGAAAAGAAACAGGAGAGAATGGAAGGGATTGAACAATTTTTTGATGGGGAGAGGAGGAGGAAGATGCAGGAGGAAGAGGTGTTCTAGACGAATATTAAGGGAGGCAAGTTGTTTGTCAGAAAATGGACAACTTCATGGTGCAGTTCCGAGGAGAATTGCAAATTGAAATGAGAAATGAAAGCACACCAGTCAATTCCATTTTCACCAGGTGGTTCATTTCAACCTTCATCGATTTGTTAAATGCTTCTATGCAAAGAACCTATTCCAAACCAGAGAAATCCTTACTTTGTTCCCTGAAGCTGCTTCAGAAATATGGTAGATGTGTAAGGGTCCCTTCAATAAAATCTTCAATCACATTAAATGTTTCCTTAATTACATGGATTAATTTATTGAGATGTAGGATTCCCTAAAAGCAAGATTTACCTTTTTAGTAACTTTAGGGTTTTACACACACCAGAAGATGCTACTGATTTTTTTGATCATCCTGCTATGCAGACTCAGCAGAGCAGGGGTTTTATTTCCTCTGGTATCAATCTCAAGATCTCTCTCCTCCTAGGATTTTGAGACTTTTAGATTTTCTGGGCCTGTGAATCACTTTGGGGACTGATTATCCTACATTTTGATCTTGAATTTTGGGTCTCTGTTGCCGCCTTTTTCCCTGCACGGTATAGACAAATCTCAGTTGAAGAAGTTTCTGCAGTGGAAAGCAAGGGCCAGGCCCTTGTTAACGTGTCAGATAGTTAAAGCTCCCAGTAGCTCCCTAAAAGAGAACTCCCTGCCCCCGAGGCCTGGCAAGTGGTGGCTATTGTTGCAGTAACTGAATTTGGAAATCTAGGGGGAACGAGAAGCTGTTTTTTAGGACTTTTTTGTCTCATTCACGGCCAGTTAAACCATTCTCAGTACTATAGTATAAAGAGTAAGTTTTTATAAATAGGCAGCAGCGTATCTAGCTGTCTCGACACCCAAGGCCCACCCTGTTAACATTTTTATGGTGCGGAGCAATATGTACTCTTTACCTGAGGGTGAATATAGAAGAAAGAAAATTAGGTGGCTTAGTTCAAGTCCTTCTGAGCTTTGAAATAAAACTTTGTTACCACTTTCATTGTGCCCCCTCCCAACAATGGCTTTAATTGCTGCGACTGGTCTGTTGGGCTTCTGTCCATCCTCAGCGTGGACAAAATCATGATTTTATCAGCATCTCCCATGTGGCCTGATCTGTCCGTTTATATTTGCTAGTGAAAAAGATGAAACAATAGCTGTAGTAAAATGAAATACTATTTTTAGTTATTAAAATGCACAAACTTTTCTTTTTGGTTGAAAATGTATGGTTTTAGAACTTAATTTCAATAAATTACTCAAACAGTGCAAGCTAAACTGCAGACTTTTCAGTCACTTGTCCAACCCCCCCCCCCCCCCACTAAGTATGTGTATGTAGACTGTTACTTTATTTGCTTACCTAACACAGGAACTACCAATAAGTCCATCACTTAATACAGCAGGAAAAGAGGTATTTATAGGGACAGTTTATAAGCACTTATTGCAGCCAGCAATATAAGGTACATAGGGATGAATAGGTTTGGGGTTTGTTTGGGTAATCATTCAATCCCTAGCTCAGATTTGTAAGTAATTTGCAGTCTGGAGATACTACAGACCTTCTATAGTAAACTGCTTTTTCAAAACCCTTCCCTTTAAATGTATATGTTCCATTCATGTGTGACGGTTTGGGATTTCGTGAAACAGTTCTAAATAGGGACAGTCCAATTCTCTGTACAATAGCACAGTCAAAAAGGAAAATAGTGTGGGACTAACACAGGTCCCTGCCACTACAAATCTATCTGTAGTGGTGGTGGATACTTCTATTCCTCACAGAATAGGGGTATAAGCCCTGCTCAGTAAGGCTGTGAAGTGCACAGAAATATTAACCAAGTGAGGTTTGAATGTTTAGTCTTCTGGTTCCTGGCCCACTGAATTTATCCTAAGGATACAAGAACATTCAAGGAGAAGGATCCATTTCATGTCCCATCTGGAATTTTAGTTCTGTCTGGCTGCTTTAGAATGATGCAAGAGGAAGTTGTGCAGAGCAACTGGAATTATCAAGAGATTTAACGGACAAAACTCTATGAAGTTTAGTTATGCATCTGCAAATGGTGAATTTTCCAGCCTTTGTTACTTGGTCAAAACAGCAGACTTTCCTGACTATGATAAAAGTAACTTCTGTGAACTCAAGACTATCCCTCTGCTTGAGTTGAAACTCCTGCTCCAAACCATGCAGATTCTAGAGATGGTCAGAACAGTTTAACATCGCCAAACAACATCATAAATGGGAACTCCATATATATTTCACATTTCTTATCCAAACTGCAGCTAGCTGTGAGAAGGAGCAATTAAGGACATACTTCCTTAGTCAGTAATCAGTTTAAGCGAAGTCATATTGCTCAACTTGATGACAATTTCTATGCAGACTCTGCATTGTTCTGACCTTACTGCAAGATATAACAGGAGGAGAAAAAGGCTTGCTTTCAGCAGCAAAAGGAGCAAACAGATGCACATTATGTATTGTGGTTCTCTTTGCCCCCATCTGTCATACCTATGCCCTAATTGATTTAAAATTGGTTCACTAAACTGACAAGCTGGTGGTGGTGCAAATCAGAAATAGAATTCCAGGTTATATATTGTGAAAAGTAATCTTCTAGCTACAGATGGATCTTGAAATAATTTTTAGCATTAGCCCCCTATTATTCCACAACCCTGAACTTGTTCAGTGTCTGTCTACATTTAAAACACTACAGCAGCACAGCTCTGGTGCTTTAGCTATGCTGATAAGAGGTTGGTATAAGCAATCCTCAGTCCTGAGAGGCAGTAGTTAAATTGATGGAAGAATTCAAAGGTCTGGATTTTTGATACCCCTGACTGACATAACTAAGGTCTTTTCTACACTAGACAATTAGATCAATTTAATTATCTTTAGCCAACCACAGGTGGTTTTGCTAGCTGAAAGCAACATTCCAAGCTAGAATTTGACTACTGCATAATCTAACAGGTACAAGGTAAATGTACTTTCAGTAGTACTGCAGATAGGTGTCACTGAAGCTCTCTGGTTCTAAGGGTGCAGTTTCAAAGATTCTGCTGCACATAAGGATGGTCCAGTAAGTAAGCCACTCATCTGGGAGTTGGGAGAAGTGGGTTCAGTTCCCTTCTCCACCACATACTTTCTGTGTGACCTTTGGCAAACATTTAACCTCTCTCTGTTCCCCATCTGTAAAACTGGAATAAGAGACTTCCTGACCTCACAGGAGTATGATGAAGATAAATATTAAAAATTGTGAAGTGCTTAGCTACCACAGTAATCAGGGGCCATATTAGTACTAAGATAGAACAGAAGTTAGTGAAAATTAATTTTTGGTTCTCCCAATTGGAATGTGGTAACTTAATTTAAAGCCTAACTTGGTAGCCTCTTAAGCAACTAAATGTCCATATTAACGAGGAGTTTCCTCTTAACGTATAGGGATGCATCACTGATGGCTATGAGAAGGCGTATTGAAGGCTTGACACCAGAAGAAATCCGAAATCTTTCCAGGGATGAAATGCATATGCCTACAACTATGGAGGATTTTGAAATGGCTTTAAGAAAGGTTTCTAAATCTGTATCTGCTGCGGACATTGAAAAATATGAAAAATGGATTGTTGAATTTGGATCATGCTAAGTCTTCCTAACCAAACTTCCCCTGGGAAACCTGTCTTAAAACAGCTTCAGAAGTAACGAAAGGTAGTGTTCATGTGCACTAAGTGCTATTTTTTTAACTTTCTTGAACTTAAGAGCAACATGATTCTGAATAAAGTAATTTTTTAAATTGCATGTCACTTTTGCCTTTTCTTTGAATTTACTCAGAACAAGTCTCCTTCCCTTTAAAAGATATGAATGTCAGTCAAATGTTTTGGTTTTCATTTTGTTTTATTTTAATTGAATAGTGGGATCTGTTCACCAGTGGGGTTCATATGAATTCTTTCACTAGCACAGAAACTGGTTGTCTTTGTGCTTGTTAGATCCTGATACTGCAAATCTCAACATAGGAAGAATAAGATTCACTAAACAGTGGTGCCAATTCATCTGTAGCAAATTTTGCCTTTTAAATGTTCCTGCATCTGTTAAAAGAAATTGTGACAAGACTAAGGTGTAAAAACCCTGAAACTTGTAACAGTTAATAAATTAAACTTAAGTCTGACTGAACTAAAAAGTAAGACTTCACTTAAGATGCATTGGGAAAAGCATTTCCTTCGGATATGCTGGGCAACTCTGATTAATACCAGACTATTTTGCCAGCACTGCCACTGAGTCAGGTTTGCAGTCTACAAGTGTTGCAGTTGTCTTTAGAAAGTGGAGAGCAAGGTATTAAACATATCTGGCACACTTTCTATTAAAATAAAAAAAAAATGTTGGCAGATGACTTGCTCAGGGAAGGAATCTGTGTTCTAAAATAAGCTTGTGATGTACAAGTATGTCCTAGACTTCTATAGAAGTCCTGTTTTAAAGCTCTTAAGAGTGGCCCTCTAAAATGGGATAACTACTACCCCTGTTTGGGCATGTGCCAGTTTATCGTATTGAGGAATTTTACTTCAAAAATTTAAATTTTAAAATAGGGCCAAAGATCAACTATTCTAAGGCCCACTGCCCTCAATCTTAAAGCAAGACCACACATGACTCTCTAGTGAGGTTCTTTCTTGTAATATTAAATAATCCTATTAGTTCGGGAATACCATTGGAAAGCTAAAAATCCAGCCTGTTTTTTTTCCTTCAGGTAATGGATTTCTGCAAGTCACTTCTCTACAGTTTGATTTCCTTTCAGTATATTTTTATATGTACAGTGAGTGTAGTAAACAATTTAAATGTTAATTTATGTGAACATCTGTGAGAAAACTATGCCTCCTGTATTCAAGATAGTAAATAATGTCTTGTAAGACATTTGTGTTTCTGAGAAACTTTATACAATACCACAAGATATACAAAAAGCATAGTAAACATCTCTAAGTGGCTTACAATTTTCAGTAGGGAAGGGGCTTAATATGAAATTGGCTGTTGAATAAAGTGCTTGAAATATCAAAAATTGCCTTAATATCTTGTTTTACATATATAGTAACTCCTTCTTTTAATAGTAAGAACAATTGTTGTTTTTACAAGGCACAGTCAAGGGTAATAGGTCTAAAACCAGGTTGACCACCTTTGTTTTGGCTTGCAGGCACGTGTGTAATCTCTTCCTTCTAGTGCTTCAGTCCATGCTTGAAGATTATCACATTCTGTATTTCATTACCTAACTGCCTTATCTGTGAATACAAAGGCCAGCTCCCTGTCCTATCTGCTGGGAGAGTATTTTAAAGAAGTTAAAACCTGTCACAACCCTCATCGTAGGAAGCTGCTGCTGTTTAGGAGCAAGAGGCTGTGGAAAGAGGGGAGATCATTTGGGCCTCAACCTTGAAATGTCCCTTTAAACATAAATCAGCTGACATACTATTTTCATAAAAGGAAGCAAATATGGTATTTAAAGTTCCAGTGCCAACTTTTAGGTCCACTGAAGATGGGTACAAAGATTCAGACGCAAGCATGGTATTGAGTACATCATTTCTCCACTAAATTGTCTGTCTTCGCTGGCATATCTGAAGAGATGTTTATCACAACCACAGGTGCAGTGTTGCTAGCCTCCAGGTGAAGGACTCCTCTGAAAGACACATTACTTAACATTAGAAAAGGGTAGCTGTGTTAGTCTGTATCCACAAAAAGAGAGTCCGGAGGCACCTTAAAGACTGATTTCATGGGTAAAAAACCACTTTTTTGCATCTGAAGAAGTGGGTTTTTTACCCATGAAAGCTTATGCCTAAATAAATGTTAGTCTTTAAGGTGCCACCGGACTCATTGTCAAGTTTTTCTTGTTTATGTTCTCAACCTTTCATTGTAAAAACATATGAAGTACGTGCAGACTTCGTTTATTATCTATTACATGAAGAGGCAGCACTAGTAGGTTTTAGGTTTTAGGAAAGCTGCTTTGATACTTGGTGACTTGGCACATCATGTAAGCTGGTTTCCAATCTAAAATATTAGCATACGATTCAGCTCCTACCTCACAGATATTAAAACTTGATTTGAAAGCAGTTTAAACAATTATCTGCCACCAGGAGCTACATTCGTGTTAAGCCAAACCGCATGTCAAATGAGACAGGCGGGACACGTTTACAAGACACGCTTTTATTATAGAGAACTCTGAAGATTCAACACGCTGCTGTTCAATTAAGGGATGAGCATTCCCCATCTGCTTGAAAGCCCTAGTAAGTCTTCCACTAACATGAGACCTGCCACTGTGGCTAGTTCTAAGGTGATTTCTTTAATCGATAAAGAAAAATGCAACCTTGAAAGGTGGCCTGCAATTGAAAAATTACCTCTTTCAAACTCTGTTGGCATACACCCCACCTATTGGAACAGTGGCCAGCAGTGATTAGGTCACATGTATGCTTTTCAGTGGTAGGTTAAGGAATTATAGCTTAATTCCACCTGTTTTTGACCACTTGTTTACAAATCAGTACTTTGCTCATTGTCAGTCTGTATAGTTAGCCTTTTTTCTAGTTCTGCCTAGTTTAAACAGATGTCAGTATTAAACTACCTGCTTGTTGTACAGTAGTCAGATCCAATGAGTGTTGCTGTCTCCCTACTCTGATGGTAAATGAATTGCTCTGGTTTTAACATTGTTCTTGGTGAGAAGTGAAGATGGCAGGGGGTGACAGCAGGACAGATGCCTTGGCACGTTAAGGGTATACTTTTTCAGTTTGCAAAGCCTTTACTCCCCAAACCCAGAAGGGCTGTCAAGCACCTTGAGGTCTCACTCCTGCCTGGCTGGCTGGCTTTATTCCTTATATGGCTTTATATAATCTGTTACAGCTGAAGACTTCAGCTGATTTTGGCATAGACAAGTCCACTGTGGCTCAGATGTAAGACATTTTCAGTTTTAACTCCATCTTAATGTTGGCCTGGTATTTTATTTTCAGTACGTTAAAACCTTGAGGTATGTTGTCTTACTGTGTTGAAAGTAAGCATAAACTCCATGCCTTGCTCACTGAGAGCTGGTCTATGCTGTGTGTGTGAGAGAAATCGATTTAAGTTATGCAACTTCAGCTACGTGAATAATGTAGCTGAAGTCGACATACTTAAATCTACTTACCCCAGTGTCTTCACTACGGTAGGTGGACTGCTGATACTTCCCCATCAACTCTGCCTACGCTTCTCGCTCTGGTGGAGTACCAGAGTCTATGGGAGAGCACTCGGCGGTTGATTTATCGTGTCTTCACCAGACATGATAAATTGACCCCCACTGGATTGTTTGCTCCAGAGGTAAGCGTAGACATGCCCTGAGCTGATGTGCTTCTTACTCAAGGTAGCACAGCTTGGATACAGGGACTAATCACGGCACTCTACTCTGCCAAGCTGCAATTAATGCTTTTCGTTGTCAGAGCACTACACCCACTAATTCGCCCCCCACCCTTACAGAAAAGGGAGGCAAACTGTCCCCAGATGAGGGAAGTGAAGTGACTTCTGTAGAATGAGAAGGTGTATATAATTGACTCACATGATTTAGGCTTTGTCTACACTGCCAAGTGAACGACAAAAGTTTTGTCGTTCACAGGTGCTTAAAAAAGCTCCCTCCCCCCAAAAGACAAAAGTGTTGTGAACGCAAGTGGCAGTGTAAACGACTCAGCTCATTGTCAGCAGGAGTGCTCTCCTTGGAGGGGGTGGAAGTATTTTGTCAGCAAAAGTGCAGACAAACAGCGTTTACGCTGCCTGACTGAGTGAGGGCTGCGTCGCTAAAAGGTGTGTAGTGTAGACAAAGCCGTAGTGCTTTCAAAGCGCTTCAGTGTCCTTGATTGAAAGCATAGAGTTATTGCTAAAGCCAGGCTGTGTGGCAAAGTTAGGACCGAAACGGAACGTACGGTTCTTAACCTTGTTGGACTACACTGCCATTGCAGAGCTTCAGATATCTGGTCTTCCTGTTCCTGAGGTGAATAATGCTGTAGAGAAAAAGCGTACCCCTCACAGATGGTCTTCAGAGAGCTACTGCTACGCATGTAAAATGGTGATAATACATTAACAATTTAATAGGGGGTACTGACCTGTTTTTTCCAAACTTCCTTATAAGAAACCACTTACGATGGAAAGCTAATCACTGCCTTTTTGTGGAGTGGTAGCAAACTCTCCACATTATGAGGTTGTCTCCTTTCATGGACTAGTCTTAGGACTACAAACAGCTTTTTTGGGAGTATGCAAAAATTACTCACTTGTGTTCGCAGGAAGGGAAAAGCACTTTTAAGATTCCTAAAACAAGAGCTGCTCCTACAACTCCAGTCCCAATGACTTCCATCAACTTAAAGAACACAGGGAAAGATTTAAGCCAGAACCCGCACAGCTCTTTTCTCAAGTACTCCACCCACTGGCACATCACCTGAAACCAACAAACATGTTAAAAGAACAAAACAGTTTCTGAACTATGTCTAGTGCAGTCTAGTTACTGGTGAATCCCTACAAGATGGATTAGCTCTGGTTTAAACGTATAATACAGTTCATACACTGCTTTACATATCACTCTTATTTTCTAATTGATAGTCTCCCTGCTCAGGAAGATTTGACACATGCAAATCTGTAAAACAGCCTTAGTCATATGAGAGGAGATCCCATGTTTGGGTGGGGAGTTGAGAACCACAGAGCAGCCAGAGGCAAGGCTATAGTGAAGCTTAGAGGTAGATTACACATGCTACTTGCGACCAGAATAGCATTTCCCACTGCAGTGTGTATCAGGGAAAGGGTTACTGGTGCTGCAGCAG